ATATGCCAGACATCGATATGAACTATGAACACCATGAACAATGATAACTAAGTGTATTAATATTATCACCTGTATACATAGTGCTATAATAGCACAGGTAATAGGCCACGTTCTAGCACTATAAATAGCTAAGATTCCAGCTGCTACCAACAATATACCACCGAATAGCATCTTTAATAATGACTAAAATGATAATACATTCTCGAGTGTAATAAGAAGTAATCGATCGTTAACACTCACAGATAACTTCTCATGAGAGGTACGGAAGACTTTCACATCTCGAGTTGTCTTCTGATTCATCCATTCCAAGAAATCCTCAGGGGTATGATCATATTTGGTTATTCTAAATTGGTCACCTGACTTAATCATTACAGCACCAGACCTTTTCTTCTTAGTCAATGCTGACTTGGGACCAAAATGTACCTGTTATAATACATCAACACTTCCTCTCCGAGTGTAAAAGTTAATACTAATACTACCAATAAGGGTACTGCCTTGAGCTCATGTACTCGTTGTATTTCACTGTTGGTATAGGCATCGATAACTCCAAAGAAAACAGGATCCTTCTCATCAGTATGAGCACCGACCTGTACATCAGGTCAATAACACAGACATATCCTACTACTACTACTCCATAATATGATAATGATGCTCTGTCGAGAGTCCTCTCAAGGGAAGGGCATATTTTGCATACTCCCTGGTTGGCACTTAGCAATACGAATAGATGATATGGTTTAGGTTGCTTGAGGGCGAATTCCTTATATCCAGTGATATTAAAACGTATGACCGCAGAGCTGATAAAGGGAATACATCTACGACGTTTATGTGGGATGATGATAATGATCCTACAGATCGAAGTTATTGTAGTGGGAGTCCTCTGATAATTCTACTAACTTGTCGATTATTGGATCAATGGCTGATGGAGAGCTAATGGTCAGACCACAAATGGTCAGAGATAAGACCAGAGAGAAGTGCACAGCCATATGGAACAAAAACTACAATATACCACTCGAATCTAAACATGTAGTGAAAGTATTGATGAACATGTGTTGATACACCTCGTAGAGAGGCAAGATACTCCTACCCTGAGGATTATC